TCACAAATTTTTTTATAAAAAAAAAAAAAAAAAAAAAAGAAAAAAAGAGGAGATTAAAATTATAAATCAAAGACCATTTAGTCTCACACCAGGTCTTAAAACCCTGCTTCTAGATACCATTAATTTCAGAGATTTAACAACAGGCTTTAATGGGAAAAGGCTCATTCTCTGTAGCAAGAAACAAAGGGTCTTTCCATTAGACACGATGACCTCATCCATCCCTCTCTGATCCTCCTTCACCTCATATGCAGAGTCAAGCACAGCACAATTCATCACTTCAGTACAAAGCTGTTTGCAGCTCAGTGGTCCGCAGTTACGTTACATACCAGCCACAGAGCTTCTGAAAGAGAATGAAGCTCCTTCATTCCACTCTGAAATTGCTATTGCTGCTTTGAAGAAACGCAGGTTCCTTTTAACAAACAGTATCTCCATCATATTTATCCAATGTCCTTTCTAAAACAGCCACTAATCTAATTTTCTTAATTAATCAACTCAGTTTAAACAAGAGGCCTATACGTTTCTAGGCTCCCCGATTCCACATGAATGCTTTCTAAAACATGGCCTAAAATTAGACATCTTCAAGTTCTCAGCTGCTGAGACACTTTAAAGCCACAGCCTGCAGCTGGTCTATTTCACTCTTCCGTTCCTTAAAAACTTGGGTAAGCTACATCTGGACCTGTTAAATTGGGAACATGCAATTTGTTCCACAATCTCTCCTACAAATGCTTCCAGCTGAGAAAGGCAAACTCATAAGCCTCCCATAAAAAGGGTTCCAAAACAGGAACCACCCCACGCTTTTCAGTGGTGAGCACATACACACAAGAATTATTTAGTTTTCTGCCTTGGCTTTATCGCAGATCATTCATTTCATAATGTCATTATGCGCAGGCCCCACAGACTCTTCAACTAGCTTCCTGCTACTGGTGTGGTTGAAAAAAGCATTTATGAATTTTATGTTTAGCCTGATAGGGGGATTTTTTGGTCCTATTTTCCTTCTTTGGACGCAGCCACAGCTTTTTTTAGATGTTCGCTTGCTTTTAATAGTCTCCTCTACCTTGTCATTTAGCTATACGGGCTTCCTTTTCCTAAGTCTTTTTTAGACTGATGGTAAGCATTTGTGTGGAGCCTCCAAAACAGCATCCTGAAATAATGTCTCTGCCACCTACAAACATGTTACTTTTACAGTTGCCCTTTCAGCCTTTCTTTAAAAAGACATCCCCATTTTTACATAGTTTCCCTTTATGAAGTTGAGCATAATTTAAGAGAGGGGAGAAGAAAGGAGAATTGCAGGTTGTTTTTCCTGCATTCCTCCCATTTCCATTTCTTGCATTTCCTTAGCTTAGGGAGGAGAGAAAGGCAGAATACCTCTAACGGTTTACAAAGCCATCTCGCAAGTCTTTTTCCAGACAGCATCTTACAATCTCTCCATGACATCACCGTCTACCCACTGAACAAAATACAGTCTCTTACCTACCTTTTAGTCACCATCCCTCTGTAATCATCTACTGCCTCTGTTCAGTGTTTGTGCAGAGCCTAGCACAGTGGGGTCCTGGGTCTACCTTGTAGGCTCCTAGGAGATAAGGAAACATAAAAGAGAAATAATAGGTATTGAAGAGACCACTCATCAGCAATTCTCAGACATTTATAGCAGTCATAAAACATCTGTCTTTCCAGACAATAAATTAGAAACGTAAGACACTGAACTACACAGTGTGAACAAGAACCAAACAGAAAGAGACAGAAAAAAATAATTCTTTAAAATAACTGGCAGCTTGGGATGAGAATTAGAAAAGAGAAGCACTTGTCACAGAATTAACAAAATCCATGGGACATATGAATTTGAGAAAAATCCTCACTGTAAAAATCTCCTTTGGTTCCTGAACCACCACTAAAATTAAACATGCCTAAAACATGGGCTGAAATCTGGCCCCAAGTGAAATCCATGACAAAATTCGGGTAGGCAAAACTTTAGTGTTCTTCATCTTTCCATAAAACAGAAAGTTCAAGAGAAAAACGCAGTTACTATCTAACGTCTCGAAACAATACAAAATACATTTTCAAGAAAAAGAGAGCATCATTAAGAACACTTCAAGATGTTAACCCATTTTGTAGGAACGACAAAGACAATGTAAACATTCAAAAAATTATCTTGCTTTTTTCTTTATTGAAACAAAGAAGGTACTGCTAATCAATCAAGTGCTATCTTTACTTGAAACAGGGAGACAGGAATCACATAGCAGTTTCCTGCTCTCAACACCTCAACAAAAAGGTACTTCACTTCAGAAGTAAAAAACAATAGTCCATCCAATTTAAGCATTCGTTTCTTTGATTGAGAATGTCTATGGCACAGAACAAATACACTAGCAATCAACAGTTCACCCTTGAACCTAATCAGAGGCATGAGTCAAAAAGGAGTCATTGTTCCACTGTTTACTCACTTATATAAAGTGACTGTACTAGATGACTGGAAGTGCTTGCGATTTTTTTCCAGTGCTTTTCTGACCTATGAAAGTCTCAGGAAATCTGCCATAAGCAGTACTGTGTAAAAACGTTTTATAACAAGGAAACATCATATGAGCAGGAAGAACTCTCCAGGTTAGACAACAAAGATCCAGATTTATGTTCACCATGTCAAAATTTCTCACAAACTCCCTGCTCCCTATCAGCAAGTACTTCAGATTTTTATCATTTACATTCTAAATTAAGAATTTATATCATATGCACACATATACACACCCCTCCACAAAATTCAGCGATGTCAAACTCTGCTGTAGAAGCTGCCAAGAGCAGTTTTAGATAGTGTTCTCCATGGCATAGCAATCAACCGAAGCTGAAGGATGCAAGGTCATTTTGAATTTCATAGTCCAAAGTGGTAGGTGAAGCTTATATTGTTGAGAAGACATTTCATCACCTTTTCTTTGCCTCCCACTTTTCAGAAAGGCAAGGACAAATTTAAATCTTGGAAGAGGACCAAGTTCTGCTTTTTATATTACTATGTACCAGAGAATACTTGAACACCTCAGCGCAACTACCCGCCACCCATGCACATTGATGACAAAGTACTCTGAGACATCCAGTCTGTCAAGTAATTAATTATAACTGTTACCATGCAGTAAGTTCTACAGACAACTACAAGCAACCCATCTCTAAGATGCAGTGTGCTAGTGATTTATGTATGCACTCACTACACCAGAATGAACAGCTGAATTATTATGCTTTGAAACATTACAAAGAAGGCTGTATGCCTCAATTTTTCTAAACAAAACAGATAGTACTAGCACTTTCTATATGCACTTCAACCCACCCACTGTCCCCTCATCACTCATTTCACAATTCATATTTCTACATAAACATCTCAGATTTTATTTTAGCAAAATAAAAGCTTTAGCAAATTTATTTTTATTCTAATCTTAAGAATTACCTAGACAAAACTGCAAAGCAGAGTCTGAATCCACCCTACTGACTTAGGGAAAACACGACACACACGAAACAAACTCTTAAAGTTTGGATTTCTATAGATTCACGTCTTGCTTATCTTATACCTCTTAATATGGCAACCCTGCGGTTCCTGTGACTGTGGCGGCACTCTCAGCGGGCACAATACAGTATATGCTATAAGTAGGACAACACCAGAAATTAGCCTGAGTATTCATTTAGTTAAGCTAAAGTTAGGCTAACGCAGCCTACACAGCCCACACCAAACCCATCTTATAGAAATTGTAAATTAAGCCACCAAAATCAGAAGACTGACTGGAAAAAACACATCAATTTTTTTTATTTGGGGGTATATAACCATGTTTTAGTTTATTTTTGCTTTGGTTTAGCATCATTTGCTAAAGCAAAAAGGCTACAGTGGCTGGGCTCCCTGCCTCTGTCTCCTACCCTTCCCTTTCAAAATTACTTCTGAAACTGATGACCGGTTTCAATCTAACACAAAAACTTTCATGAAAATGGCCAGGCAAAACAAGAGACAAACTCATTTTCCAAATCGCTGTTTTTCCCTACTCTCAGTGACAAACACAGGCACACAAGAGGGGAATTCAGCCATGGTACATTTTATTTGCCCAGAAGCACATTAAAAGAACAGGGGGAAAAAACCTTCTGCAAATGGATAAAAATATACACAGGTGTAACACTAGTGGAAGTTTTCTGGAAATCTTCACTAGATTTAATGATAAACGCATAGGAGTGCCGTTTCCCACTGCTGTTAGAATATGGTACTGAAGTCATTGGTATGACCAAACGGTATGATTAAATCTGGTGGGGGCATGGAGGAGAGCGCACATGCAGTTAACAGCCTTCGCTGTCATATGGATACAGGCACAACTCTCACATCTGCCTAGTATATTTGGAAAGATATTTGGCTACATACTGAATTGAGCAAAGAAATAGTCGTAGCACGTCTAGACACTGTGGCTCATCTGCATGCTGAGACTTCCCACTTCTGTTGTAGCTGCACGGCACTGCTCAGGCAGCGCGCCACAGCAGCAACCTTGCCTCACCCAGTCAGCTGGGAGCTTGCCCAGGCACCCAGGATTTTCATACAATACCTAATGGCAACCATTGCTCACCTCGCAAGCAAAAAAGGACACTGAGAGGGATAAGAATACACCTGCTCCACACCACTCCAACAGCCAGCCTTGGCTTTTGCTCCACAGAGATCACAATCTGAGTTAGGCAAGCTGCTCCAAGCTACTTCTGCTGATGTTGGTGGGGCTGAAGTAGAAGTGTCAGGAGCGCCAGGGAGATGGGGTTTTTCCCCACTCAGTGCTCTCACCGTCTACACACAGGAGAACCGAGCACATATAAGTAAACTTTATGTACTGCTTAAAATACAGTTGAAAAAATTACTTGCTTTTGTTGCTATCTGGCAGCAGGAGAGAAAATCATGTCAAAACTGAAAGTGTACTAAAATTGAGAGGGAGGGAGGGGAAAAAAAAATTTTTAAAAAAGATACAAATAGCCTCCCTCCTCTTCCCTTCCTCCAAAAAACGCCTGCGTTATGCAAATATATCCCACTTTCGGGGATGAATCAAGGATGAATGGTTAGAACAGCTGCTATATACAACCTTGTGCTCCTTCTACAAAAACTAACATTTCTCGTTATAATGTACGCTAGCTAATATTACTACTTATCTCTCTCTTTTCATGCTGAAGAGGTCCTCACATAAGGAAAGAGATCTCATTAAATCCAGCTTATTTGCTGGACTAAAGAAGAGATGTGGAAAGACGGCAATTATTAAGCTAAATCTAGGCATAAGGAACATGAAAGAAAGAAGAATACCCTTCTTATAAAGCCGCATTTTGTTTATATGCTTTCAAATAACAATATCGAGTAAACTAAAACCAAAACAAAATAAATGTAGGAATTCTTAGGGAAAAAAGTAGAACAAAAGAAAAATCAACAATGTCCTTGAGCATGTCCCAGACGCCACTGTTTGAGACCACAGAAGCAGCCCACACAAACGCATCCCAAACAGACAGACACACGCTGCAGAGCAGAAGGTCAATGTATGGAGCACTACACCCGCTCCCCTGCTCCTTCACATGCAGGGCTGGGAAATGTCCAGGTGTTCACAGATGTGTCTTCTGGTTCAACTCAGAAATCACATCTGGACAAAACAGGAGCAGTACAAGGACTCCCTTAAGCTTCAGCATTGTTCTTGCCTTGCTGAACACAAGCTCCAAGTCATGAAGAACCGTGGACTTCCACACACATGTACACACGCTCCCACATGCCAACCACATAAGCAATAGATCTGACTCATCCAGAGTTTGTCAGGCTTACTTCATAGGCATGGTAAATCCAACATAATCAGAACACAAGACACTCACGGCCCATATGACGATCATCTTTGGGGAAAAGAAGAAGAGTCCCATAAAGTAGACTCATTGCGTTTGCTGTAACACACGCCAATGCTCAGGAATATGAACCCTGGTGATATTCTGCATATTGATAGCTATACTACTGGTCATGGTACCTTTTTTCCAGGTTTTCTGAAACAGAAGGTCTTGACAAAGAAAATTAGATTCATGAATTACCCACAGCTTTAACTCTGTTTACAGTATCACTTTATTCTTCACTAGGCCAAAATAAGAATAAATGTAGAGACTGGAATGCCAGGACGGGAAATGTATTGCTGACAGGAAAGCATAGATCAGAATATGTGAAGTTACCAGTCAGACGGAGTTCTCTGGCTGAAAATTATAAAACAGAATGACATAACATTTATTTGGTTTTGCAGGGATTTGACTAATAATAGTTCATTAAAAGCCGCTGAACTTGCGCTACTTACTTGCTTTAACTCCATCTAGGTCAAAGTGACAGGACATGTTAGTGTAAATTTAACCTTTTAACTAACCACTACAGATTTATAGTCCAAAAGCAGCACTTACTTCTTGCCAAAAACCACCATGATTCCCAAAATAGTAATTTTTAAAGTATAATACATCATTAAGACTGCTAACAGAATGAACAGTATTACCCAGTTTGAAATGGTAGAGATGGAGAACAGTAATAAAGGAGAAATTATTGTGGTCTTGCTCCCACTGCAGTAAT